AAAGACATTAATATAATTTTTCTCTGTTGAGTGGAATAGTTTTATTAAACTTTACTAACCCCTTTGGTTTAATCCCTGAAGCCGACCTATAAAACATTAGAGGCTTTAAATCAAACCATAAAAATCCTCAAAGCTGAAAGCTAAAGTGATAGCCATAAGGTTGGAAAAATAATAAAGGATTTATAAAATATGTCTAGTAACTAGTAATGCTTTATACATCACATATCTAGATATCTATTATATATAGTTATATATGCACATATACATGTAATCTTTAAAATTAATCATTGCGAAAAGGTAATTGTGGCTTATCAAAAGTATCTTTAATATTTTAAAGGTGTCAGGATCGCTATAGCAACCATTTTTTTCTCTCTAAAGACTCATTGGTATGTCAAACACGAATGAGAGGACTTACAGATTTATAATTTAACCTCGAATAAAATGACCACAGCAATATTATTTTATTAATTTCACTGGTAATAAAATGACATCGTACTGTTTGATGCTGAACTTATCCATGTGGGTGATGAGAATAGCTATTTAGAAGGAAGCTCAACACCTCTCCCCAGTCACCCTGCCTGCTTGCCTCCTCCCTCCCAGAAATAATAACGAAATAGATAAATAAACACATGAAGCCAAACCAAAACAAAACCAGTCTGTAATTCTTTAGGCGATGCTTCATGCATTTTTCCCACCCAAGTACCCCTAATGGTAGAGAAGATTGAATGCATACCCCTAGGGATCCGTTGCTAGTGTGAAATTTCTTTGAAGTCATCTGTTTTATTTTAAAAATTCATGTGGACTTTGCATTCTACTCCATTATATATATATATCTGTTTGAATGCAGAAATGATGTGTTTTTCCCCAATATCTTTGAGTTGCAGAGCTCGAGTAAAATATGCTAAGTTTACACCATAGCTTTGCCACTTCCAAGACTCACAGAATTTTAGAAGCTCAGCTTTACATGGAATAAAGGCAATTATAAAATAAATTTTTCTGTCTCTCACGTATTTCCTACCTTCAGTACCCCTTTCACTTCGAAGTAATTTTTTTCTTTGTCAGTTAATTGAGGCCTATGACATCAGTGCTGCCCTAAAATAAATTTGTTATTTGCTATACCAGACAGAAAAGATACTGCCTTACTCTATCAAAACAAGGTACTCAGATTCTAATAATCTAATAACAGAGATAAAAGGTATTAATAGTCATACAGCTGTTCTTAAAAATAAGTTATGTAATTCAATCATTAACTGAATTGGTTTCATCTTATTCATCTCTCTCCAGTTTAAAAAGAAAGGTTCTTTTTTTCTTTTTGTTTTTAAAAGCGATCGTTTCACAAGGAGATAGCCCATCAACAAATAAAACGAATTATGTGGTATTGATCTTTTTTTTAAATTTTTGCAGGTGGACTGTGGAATATACAGGGGGTGCCAAAAACATGTATACAAGTGGGCACTTTGGTCAACATTGCTCAAGCAGTAGTTTGCCGTATTCAGAAGTGTCTGGACACTGATGGTAACCACTTTGAGCACCTCTTGTAATTGCAGAAGTCAAACGTGACTTGTATTCATCTTTTGTTATTGGTATATGTTGAGTCTTACAATGATAATACAGTTTTCCTTTCTTAAAATGAGTATACTTTTTTTGGCACCCTCTGTATATATGCTACATACAGTACCGGAGGTGACAGGGTGAGATTCAAACAGGACTGAAGTATATATTAAGCAAACAGGGTAAGTTAGACTCCAATACCAAGGAAAAGTATAAACAAAAGGTAGTTGGCTTGTTTCACTGTGTTTTGTCTTTTCCTGCAGACTAAATTCAAAAGTCTTTTCTCCTAAGGCTTTGTAGCGAAATATTAGGAGAAAAATAAACAATAAATAAAAGGCGTCTGAACAGTGATTTGACAAATGATAGTCAGTTGTCTTGGAGGACAGGGCAGGTGAGATTTCCAGGCATGGGATGCAGCACGAAATCAAACACAGAGACAGGATTATTAGAAAGGAATAAAAACGGCTCAAGAGAAAATACGTCTGGGCACACTGAAATAAGAACCAAGAGGAAATGAAAGCCAGATGCAAGCAACCGGAATGTGCTTAAGAAGTTTTTGAGTTGAGAACTGTGAGTCTGAATTTCATAGGGAAAGAAAAAGAACTAGTGAAAATAATGTGAGAATGGGGATTGCTGAGGCCCAAACAGCGAAATAGGAAGAGGATTTCTGGCAAAAGTCTCTTGAATCCACTGGCAGGAAGAATACACGAAAACAAATTTTGCTCTTGAAATGGATAGAGAGGAAGAAGTTGGTGATATTGCAAAAGAAAAATATGAAAGGGTTTACCAAAAGCCCAGACACAGGAAACAAATAGCACTGAATATAATACATTCTTAGTCGAGACTGGATGAACTATAGATACCCGTATGATCATTGCCTTCTAATAAGGCAATAGCAACAACTGTAATATTCATAGTAGTATATCAATTACTACTACTACTACTACTACAAATAATGATAATAATAATAATAATGATAGGGGTATAACAACAACTGAGTATGTCCTATGTGCCAAACCTTTTACTGCATATTTTGAACATGTTAACTCCTTTCATATTATTGTTACTGTCATTCCCACTTTACAGATGAAGAAACAAAAACTTGAAAGTTTAAATTACTAGCTCAAGGTTAAAGAACTAATAAGTAATAGAACTAGAATTAGAGCTTTATATTATCTAACTAAGGGGTCGGCAAACTGCGGCTCGCGAACCACATGCGGCTCTTTGGGTACGTACATGTGGCTCTGAAGTAAAACTGAAAATGAAAATAAAACTATCATAGTTTCATTTATAAAAATTTTAAAAGATATTATTCACATAATAGTGATTTCATTTGCTTCTTGGCTCTCGAATAATTTTGAAATTGTTGTGAGGGACAGGATTGGCTCTTCCGTCTCAAAAGTTTGCTGACCCCTGATCTAACTCAAAAGGCTGTGTTCCATAGGTTTCATCAATAGCAGTAGTTACAGACAGAGACACATATATAGATATATAGACATAGATGAACAGGTATTCAGAGTTAAAAATCAAAGCTGATATAAGCTTCATTCCAGATTTCATTACAGTTATTCCAGATTATTTTGACTAAAAATATGTTTATCCAATATATTCATGTAAAGCATGCTCAATGTAAGAATTAGAAACTTCCACTGTATAATTGACTGATCATTTTATTTAAACATATCCTTGATAGGCTCCCTCTCAAAATCTTTCTGAAATTGAATCTATACAATGAGTAAATAAAATTTATAAAAGCATTCTGGTAGACAGCAGTGAAAAAGTAGTAATAGCCCTGAAATGATCTAATTTCAGCACTGGTCTTATTTGTGATGATATTTCTCATGTTTCAAATTATAATAAAATTTTTCTAAATGTTATTATTCCACATTAGTTAAATATTAGTAAATATGCCTCTAGTCACAAAGGTGTGTGTTTTAAATCCAAGGATCAAGATATAGAAGTTGTTTAGAAAAGCAACTGCCAGAAAACTGCTATTACAGTTGTAGTAAGTATAATTTTCTATCACATCATCAAGTTTTTTTTATAAAAAAGAAAGCAAATAAATAGTACTATGGAGTCATAGTTTGTCTCCTAGTGGTATTTTGATCCTTGGACTACAAATTGCGACACACTGGACTAAATTAATGAAATATGGTGACGATTTGATTGACAATACCAGAGCAGCAGAGATGACCACTAAACAATATTACACAAACAATATTTTGGGCTTTATAGACACACTGTTTTTCCCTTCAAAGGACACTAACAGGTTTGTATGGATTGTAATAAACTTAGTAAATGTATATGCTTTTGAGTCCTTACTGAAAGTCCTCAGAGTCATAGAGAAATGGAATTACTACAGTGCAATTTCAAATATAAGATTTATGGCATGTTTTTCTTATCTAAGAGGGAAAATGTACTTCTAAGAGGGAAAATGTACTTTTCCACATATATAATCTCACCTTGAGAAAATGTTTCCTTAACCCTCCTTTCTTTCATTTTTCAACTTCTTACAAAAGTAGACAATACTCACTAACCAACAAAACTAATTAGCTCGAATTACAACCTTGGAGACATTTTTGTTCCCTGTCTCCTGTTCCTCACTGGTGCCAAGTCCTCCCTATTCTAATCCTTCAATGATGACCTACTTCTACACGTGAAGACCAGACTGCTTAGCATGACATTGAAATCTCTGAGATGGCCACCTTACGGCTCCAGCCTTACAGTCAACCACTCTTTCACTCGTCCTAATACATTCTGCCACTCGGCCTCACTCACACTGTTTGCTCTCTGAAAACCACGCCCTTGTCCATGCCTGTAAAAACCCTATCCTCATGCGTCATCCCTTTCGGCCTCTTCCATGAAGCCTTCTCTTATCTACCCATTCAAAAGTACTGGGTTGTCGGAAAAGTCATGATGCATTTTTGTGACGAAAAACAGAGAGAAATACATCATGACTTTTCCGACAACCCAATACATTCTCGCTCATCTAAACCACAGTACATTATCTTTCCATATAGCACTTCTCATATTCATCCATTTTTAATGAAGTATTCGTATGGGTGTCTCTTTTTACTTTCCAGATTTTAAACACACTCAATCAAGCAAGAAGTGTCTTACAATCATTTGATATCACCAAAAGCCCCATAGTATTTCCTTTGCAAACAATACACTCCCGTGTTTATGAAATGAATGAATGAAAGTACTATCTGATCAGAGATGTGAAAGCTTTGAAAACTTAGCAGTGTTAAAAAAATTAAAGCAAGTTAAAACCATGTCATTACAACACACTATGGTATCAAATATAAGTTAATGGAAGCTCCCTGCTTTTCTTACATGAGCAAAGGAACAAAAAAAAATATGACGAATGTTTATAGATTATAGATCCTACCATTTAAAATATAATACTTAGGTAAGGAATAGTCTCAATGTAGTTACAAATCAATTACCTTTGCTTGCACTTTCTACATGTTGCAGTTCGTCAGGAAATTTCAGGATATCCCCGTATTTCTCCTCACAAATTTCAGCAATAAAATGCAAGAGGGTTGTTTTTTGATCTGCCGATTTAGTATCTCTGATCTGCAATGAAATGACAAAGCTTTCAGTATTTTTAGTAATGCAAATAGACTGTTTTCTTAAACAAGTGGAATGAATGAATGAATGAACTCAGTTCATTATAACTAAATAAAAAAAAAAGTTTGGGGTAGGTATCTAACAGGGTCTAGTAACAATGCTCTGTTTCAAATGAACTCCATATTTTAAAAGCGAGGATGACACAAAAAAGTGAAAAATTAAACTCGAATATATATTATTCAAAATGTCGAAATTATTATGGCAAAATGAATGCTTTTCATGAGAAAAGAACATTCATTTAAGAACTGATAATAGCCAGCCGAGCGGCGCATTGGTTAGGAGTTGGCTTCGGACGCCAGCTCTTAGCAGCAGGGCACCGGTTCAGATCCCACATGAGGGCCAGTGATGCTGCGCCCTCTACAGCTAAGATGATGAACAACAGCTCGACCTGGAGCCGGGCTGCCATGAGTCACTGGCGACATGTAGGCTGCAGTGGGGCTGGCTGGCAGCAGGTGTGAGCTTTCGTGAGCTGCTGTGGGCTGCCGTGAGTGGCCATCCAATGGCCGGTGAGCAACTGCCTCAGCCGGGAAAAGCGCAATGATAATATCAACATGGGCCAGTGAAGCGACATCCTCCACAACTAGAGTGAAGAACAAAAGGACAGCAACTTGTCTGTTCCCCTTCCCTGATTCCCCAATGCTATTCCCCTCCCCCAATTCCCCAATAAAATCTTTAAAAAAATAATTGATAATAAGAGTCCGAATTAATGTGTGCTTGTGTTATCAGCATTCTGTTCTTTGCTTTATCACAGAAATATATTCTTGAAAGCTGATTTGTTTGTGAGGTTATATTTATTTCTAGCCATCAATGTCGCAAATTAATGTTAAAGAGTAAGCACACTTTAACCCCCTTTACTTCATGGGCCATCAAAAAAGAATAACTGATGATTTCTTATGTGGATTTATAAACAGAATTTGACCACACAATTGTGATAATTTGACAAAGTTTATTTCTCTGCTTACATATTGTATTTCCTTTTCAAAGACACTAGAAAAGAGATGCTACAGTTAGAATGATAAAAGTCTTACATATAGGACAAAAAAAATCTATGATAAGAATCTAAGTGTTTTCTTTAATATAACTCATACTAGACTAAGCTGCAAATGAAATCAAGGATTTACTGAAAAACAAAGGATAAATAAGGCATAAAGTATCAAGTTTTCTCATTCTACTGGATGTTTTAATTCTATAATCCTTAGATGATGGGTTTGTCTACTGATGTTTATAGTGATTTGGGGTTTTTTTAGCTTTAAGGATTACTCTATTTAGAATAAATGAATATTCTTCACAAACAGGTTAAATGAAAAGGCTATGGAGGATACTTAGGCAATTACAGAGTAATTTAATCCTTATTGTTTTAGTGACTAAGAACAACAAAAAAATTTTCATTTAATTAATCAGGCCCATACTGAATCTGTTTTGTGCTACAGCTTTTAAACAACTGTTTATGGCCCAATGATATGAACAACTTAAAAGAAATATCAGTGTCAAGATTCAAAAGAAACAGCCACAGGAGGCATGATGTTGACAGTTCAAGCGGTCATAATTATTTCTTTTAGAATTTCTCGGATTACTTTATCTCACAAAGGTAAAATATTTAAAACTTGGCATTATCATGCTGATCCACCAAACACTTGTAAGTACAACAAGGTTGAAATGACACAACTCAAGGACAAGCTATTAAGAACAAAAAGCAACGAAAACCTCAAGGGCAATTTGTCTTAAGTAAGGCTTGCAGCTGTAGAGAAATCAATGGGAGGCTCACTTTCCTAAAGAGAGGTCTTTACCTAGGATTATGGTGTTATATGTTCACAAAGTATGCCATTTTCAGAGTAGGCTGTATATTCCAAATAAGAAGGAAATTAACATCTTCTTTTTTTTCTCACAAATTACCGGAATTCCTAAATCCTAAAACCAGGAGGTGCTTAGGGAAAATTCAAAGTATGTCTTCCAAAAAGAAAGGAAATTGATCTATATTTTATGAACTCTGTGATCACTCACACACGCGCACACACACACCACCACCACCACCACCACCACCAAAAACCCACCTACATTCTCAGAACACCAAATTGCACAAGTATATTATAATTCTTTTTAATGCACATGGCCAACACTAGAAAGAAAAACACAAAAATAGAAAAGCAGGGTGCTCTTATGTCAATTCTATGGGTGATTTAAAACTTTAGCTTTGACATGAATATTTGTAAGTGCTTATTTTTCAGAAACCGTGTTTAACTGATAAATATTTACACAGAATCAGGTCCATTAATTTCTGTTAAGAAATTTAGTACAGTCAATGGTTACATTTAACAAAGATAAAGTATAACATTTGAGTTAAATAAATATCTTGGTATCTCTGTTCAAATCAGAAAGAATGGTAGACAGAGTACACATGTACTTTTTCAGAATTGTAATATTCCCTTCAAAGAATGGGTAAACTAGGGCCGGCCGAATGGCTCAGTTGGTTAAGAGCTCGCTCAAGAGTTTGAGCTCTGAGCAACAGCGGTTCGAGGCCAGCCCGAGCTGAGCA